CTGTGCTCACCACGTGGCTGGTGGAAGTCTGACCATGCTGCTGAGTCTCAGCGCTCCTCTGCGCTTTGCAGCCGGCATCTCTGTGGGGCTTAAGCACAGAGGCCGCGGTGATGAAGAGGGAAGAAGTGATGTGGAGCGTGGGGAGGTTCTGTGTCCGTGAACAGAACCACACTCACGTTGCTTCGATGTTCCTTCCAGGCTGCTTTGAGCCGGCTTTGGTTGCTGCCAGACAAACCAGCCTATGTTGCTCTTTGTAAAGAGCAATCTTTGTAAAGATTTAGAGTCTAATAAATTAGCGTCCCAGGGCGCTTGGGACGGGTGATCTGAAAATCTACCCCAGAATCACCAAACAGTATTATTGATACCTCACCATGGTCCAATAATTGCCATTCAAGAGAAAGTTCGCCCCCTCCGTCACTGTGTTTGTATTATACAGTGGCCCTGGAAGTGGTCAGCAGAAGTCCATGCCATCCATTTCTATTTGTATGTATGTTTGTTGAGGGCACACGAGTGCACCTTGTCAGGGGCTGCAGGTGTTCAGAGATGGTAAGACTCTGAATCTCTGTAAAAGGCACTCAAGGGGACGTGTGTATCCCAGGAACAATGGGTGAGGGCCAGGGCAGTGAGGAGGTGGCCCGGAAATTGATTCAACTCAGCGATTCTTCATTGAACATTATGGGGCCACAGCTGAGACATGACCCCATCTTTTTTTTTGTTGGAGGTTTCGTTTTACTTTACTTTTTAAACATTTTTATTTATTTTCTTACTGAATTATCATTCATTTATAACATTGTGTTAGTTTCAGATGTGCAGCAAAGCAATTTGGATTTTATATGTATGTATCATATAGTGAAAGTCACTCAGTCATGTCCGACTCTTTGCCACCCCAGGGACTATACACAGTCCATGGAATTCTCCAGGCCAGAGCACTGGAGTGGGTAAGTAAGATCTCCAGGGGATCTTCCCAACCCAGGGATTGAACCCAGGTGTCCTGCATTGCAGGCGGATTCTTTAGCAACTGAATGACTGTATATGTTGTTTTTCAGGTTATTTTCCACTGTAGGTTATTACAAGATACTGAATGTGCCTCCCTGTGCTGCGCAGTAAATCCTTGTTGCCTGTTTTATATACAGTAGTGTGTACCTGTTAATCTCATCCTCCGAATTTATCCCTCTGCCCTCTTTCTCCTTTGGTTATCATAAGTTTGTCTTCTGTCTCTCTGAATCTATTTCTTTTTTGTAAACAAATTCATTTGTATTACTCTGTCGATTCCACATATAAGTGATCGCATATAAAATTTGTCTTTGACTTACTTCACTTGATTTGGTAATCTCTAGGTCCATCCATGTTGCTGCCAGTCGCATTATTCCATCCCTTTTTATGGCTGAGTAATGTTCCATTATGTGTATGTATACACACACACACCCCACTTCTTCTTTACCCATTCATCTGTTGATGGGCACTTGGATTGCTTCCGTGTCCTGGCTACTGTAAATTGAACATTGGAGTGTATGTATCTTTTCAAATTAGAGTTTTTGCCTTTTCATGCCCAGGAGTGGGATTGTTGGATCATATGGTAATTCTATTTTTAGCTTTTTTAAAGAACCACCAGACTGTTTTCCATAGTGGCTGCACCAGCTCACAGTCGATGTAGACCCCATCTTGAAGGCGCTCCCAGTTCACTAGGATAGATGGACCAGTGCCCAGGTAACCAGGAACCTGCCACAGCACAGTAGGTGTATCCAGTGCCGGGCACACCTGCCCCATTGCTTCCACGACCTCACACGCTCCTAGCCCACCTGCTTCAGTGGCCGGTCCTCTGGCTCCCAGTGGCAGCCGCCAGCACTGCTGGTTTCCAGAGGGATGAGCCCCAGAGAGGAGTGGTGCTGGCAGAATCCTGCCCTCGTCACTCTTCCTTGCTCGTTGGAGGCAGCTCTGAATGTGCCAGCAAAGGAATGCAGTTTGCCCTGGACGGATGTACTTCTTTTATTTACTTGACTGTGTTGGGTCTTGGTTGCACATGTCAGCTCTTTAGTCGCAGCATGTGGGATCTAGTTCCCTGACCAAGGATTGAACCCGGGCCCCTTGTATTGGGAGTGTGGAGCCTTAGCCCCTGGGCCACCAAGGAAGTTCCAGAATAGATGTCTTTCTTGGCTTAAGAACAGCCTATGTTGTATATGAAATAATCAGACAAAAAGACATGCTGATGCTTCTGAATTCCTTGGAGTTTTCAATTGTATCATGCTGTTGGCTAGGTAAAGAAATACCAGCTACCCAATAGTTTCATCCTGCATGTGTGTGCATGCACACACACACACATATACAGGCAATTTCATAACCAGTAAGAGAAGATGGAAGGGAAGCGCCTTGGGGAACTTGCTGGGGTGTTGGAAATGTTCTGTATCTTACTTGGGGTTTACATTACATAGGTTACTTGTCAAAACTCATCGGGTGATAGACTTACAGATTGTGCATTTCACTGTTTGAATTTTATCTTGAAAAAGATAACTGTAAGCAAATAATGACCTCTTATTATATCTTATTAATGATATTCAGACTGAAGTGTTTGGGATGAAGCGGACTGCTCTCTTCATCTTACTGCGAAATGCATCATGAATCAGTTGGTTGGGTTGATTGAGGGACAGGCAGCAAAGTACTAACAATTAATTGTAGAATTGGGGTTGTGGGCACATGGGATTCTTTTCCATTTTTCTTTTCATGCTTGAACGTTTTCATAATACAGCGTTGAAACAGAAGAACTACAAATAACCCTAGAGCCGTGCGCAGCGAATTCTCTCGGGAGCCGGTTTTCTCAGCTGACACAGGACCGTTCTTACGGACGGCCGCAGCTGCTTCCCAAGGGAGTGTTGGTGAAGCGGCGTGCGGGTCCTGGGCTTATGCGTTCTCTGTGGGCCTGGTGGGGTTGGAGCAGGTGCATTTCATTTCATGTAGGCTGTGTCAGCTTGGACTTCCTTTGAAGGCGATGTAGTTTATCAGCTTGGAATGATAAGAACTCTGAAACACAGGACTTTTGGCCCTGTAAGCAGAATGTGGCTGTGAATTTGCAATCTGAGAATAGCCTGAAAGATCGGACAGAAGCAGAAAGGCCGGCTGAGCCCCTGGTCACCCTGCTGAGGGCTGGGGGAGCTTTTGTGTTTGTTTTTTGGCCGTGCTAGGTCTGCGTCGCTGAGCAGTCTTTCTCTCGCTGCGGTCTGTGGGCTTCTGACTGCGGTAGGGCCTCTTGTTGAGGAGCACAGGCTCTCGGGCACACAGGCTTTGTGAGCTGTGGCTCCCCGGCTCAGTCGTTGTGACTGATTTAGGTGCCCCCCTGGCAGGTGGGGTCTCCTTGGACCACAGATCGAACCCGTGTCTCCTGTATTGGCAGGCGATTCTTTACCACTGAGCCATGAAGGAGGCCTAGAGGACCTTTTTATATGTATTTAAATTTTGGAAAAATTACATAGTTTATTTGTATTTTATATATAAATTGTATATAAGTATAATCCGTTTCTCAAAAATTTTAACACTATACAATGCATTTAAACAGATCCAGGGGCGTTCCCTGGCAGTCCAGTGGTTCGGACTTGGTACTTTTAGTGCCATGGCCTGGGTTCGATCCCTGGTCAAGGAACTAAGATCCCACAAGCCGCTCAGCATGGCCACAAACAAAAACCAGATACAAAATACTTTTTGAGACTACACATTTTTCGGCCATAAAGCAATGTAAGACTTTTTTTCTAATACAGAAGATGCAGAACAGTGAACTCAGCCATAATTTTACAGTTTTGGTGTATTTCTTTCCCGAATCTTTTTTTTTTTTTTAATTCATGCATTATTTACATAGTTGTATTTTTTTTCATTTGCCTGTAATGAGGGAGTTCTTTGGGAGGGAGACCCCAACACCCTGCTTTATGTGGCTTGGCCCACCTAAGAGACCACATAAAGGGAGCAGAGGGTGGGCATGGGGCGCAGGGGGGGGAGCCCGGAGTGCAGGCCGGGAGCTGAGACCCAGTGGCCAGGGTGGGGGCAGGAAGGCGCACTGGCCATGCAGTCTGACGGCCCTGGGGCTTGGGGGCCTGATCGCTCTTTGTAAAAAGTGAGGTTAGTGAGTTCCTGTTGGTGGTTCCCATTGAGACTTAAAGAAAATACTTTGAAGTTGCCCAGCCTGCATATTGGGCTTGCCTCATATTTCAGTTGGTAAAGGATCCGCCTGCAATGCAGGAGACCCCAGTTCAATTCCTGGGTCAGGAAGATCAGCTAGATAAAGGATAGGCTACCCATTCCAGTATTCTTGGGCTTCCCTTGTGGCTCAACTGGTAAAGAATCTGCCTGCAATGTAAGAGACCTGGGTTTGATCCCTGGGTTGGGAAGATCCCCTGGAGAAGGGAAAGGCTACCCACTCCAGTATTCTGGCCTGGAGAATTCCATGGACAGAGGAGCCTGGCGGGCTACAGTCCATGGGGTCGCAAAAAGTTGGACACAACTGAGCAACTTTCACTTAGCCTGCATATTTGGCCTATTTTAATCGTGGTGCAGCGTTTGGATGTTGTCTTAGAATGGTTGGAGCCTTTTAAAATTTAATATTTACTCATTTATTTCACTGCACCAGGTCTTAGTTGCTGCAGGTGGGATCTAGTTCCCTGACCAGCGACTGAACCCGGGTTCCCCTGCATTGGGAGTGAGGAATCTTAAAGTCCCCAGAAAGCTCTGGGCAAGGAATAAGATGTAAGAAGTGGAGGTTTTCTGAGCATTAACATGCTGGTGTGGAGGGAGCTTGAACATGAGCCCAGGGCTGTTTCCTGCAGCAGAAAGGACTGACATTGAGAGACGGATGGAGGGAAAGAGCGAGAGAGAGAGACATTCTAGAGGAGTGGTCCTCGGGATCCGGGGATGGGCTGGTTACGGGGAGGGCCGGGTGTCTTTCTGTTGTCCGTTGACTTTTTATGACTCACATTACAGTGTTTCTCTTCCCACTCACTGCTGTGTTCTTTCCCTTGCAGGAGCCTGTGTGAAATGCAGCAAGGGGGTGTTTGGGGCCGGCCAGGCCTGCCAGGCCATGGGGAACCTCTACCACGACGCGTGCTTCACCTGTGCAGCCTGCAGTAAGTGTGTGTGGGGGTTGGGGGGGAGGGGAGCCCAGGGTGAGGAACAGGAGGACCGAGGAAGGGAGGAGATGCAAGAGCATCCTTCGGGAGACACTTGGCCCATGTCCCTGCGTGGTCCTACGGGAAGGCAGGACAGTGTCCTCTAGAAGAGGGGGTTTGTACTATTAGCTCAAGGCCCATCAGAGTATGAGGCACTGCCTGGCGCCCACTCTGATGTAGTTAAATGATCCCTAATAGCATCAGAGGTCTCAGAAGAGTCGGGAGGAGAGCGCTGGGATTCACCATCCTCTGCCCTCTTGTCATTTCTCTCCCCCACTGTGGGGACCAGCCAACCGAAAGGTGACTCATCAGTTACCCCAGTGTGAAGCGGGGTCCCTTCCTAGCTCTTTGGCCCCGTTATTGCATTTGGAGGCTGCTTTTTGAGTGAACAGTGTGAGCGTGTGTGTGAATGCCTGTGTGAATGCATGCCATACACGTGTGGGTGCCTCTTAGCAACACCTGTGGGTATCTTTGTACTGCTTTGCGGACGTTATGCCTAAAACATCGAATCAGGAGACCAGGCCTGTGCTCAGCTCAGCAGACTGCTTGTTGAATGAATGGCAAACATGGCGGAAGATTCTAACACATTTGGGCTGTTTGTCAGGTCTGACCAAGTCATGAATTATGCTTGTTTCATGGTATCCACCAAAGATTAATTTTGAGGAGCGTTTTTGAAAAATGTCCCACTAACATTCTCCAGTTTTGCACCGAGGCTGACAGCTGTTATTTAAAAGAAAACATTACAAGAAAGCCCAAAGAGTGTATAGGACAAAGGGGTCTTATCGTCTGGCCTAGTGGTCCTTAGTCCTGACTTTTCATTAGACTCGCTGGGGTGGCGTTGGGGAGGTGGAGAGATTTTAAAAGCCAGTGATGCCTCACCCTGACCAGCATGATCAGAAGCTCTAGGTCTGGGGTTTCCAGAGTGGGGCATGAGAGATTTATAAGCTCCTCAGGTGACTCCCAGGCATGGCCAGACTGGGCACCTGGGATTCATGCCAGGCTTCTCATTTTAGGAGCCTCCAGAAATGGGAGGGTGATAAAGGTCACCCGTTTGTGGCACAGCCCTTGAGAGCCCCGGGGCTCCCAGTCTGACGTTCCCCGGGTCAGCATGGGCCTGCCATGTCTTGACGACACAGGCATATGCCTGGTTCCCAACCTCAGGCTTCATCCTCACCTAGGTTTTCCATAAAACACATGCTAAGAGTTTCCACTTTGATCAGTATTCACCTTTGTAGGGAAAATTGTGAAAGACTGAGATGGATTGGGCTTCCCTGGCGGCTCAGCTGGTAAAGAGTCTGGCTGCAATGCAGGAGACCTGGGTACGATCCCTGGGTCAGGAAGATGCCCTGGAGAAGAGAAAGGCTATCTACTCCAGTATTCTTGCCTGGAGAATTCCATGGACTGTATAGTCCATGGGGTCACAAAGAGTCAGACACAACTGAGCGACTTTCACTTCACTTCACTTGAGATGGATTACACAGTCTCCTAGCATCCGTATGGGAATGTAGGACTTTCTTGGTTATCAGATTCCCTGGGTCTCTGGGCCTTTCCTTGCCTTTGAGCCGTAAGTTGTAGAATCTTGATGGCAAAGCCTGTGGTTCTTGTCCACAGCACTGCAAACTGTGTTTGGTGGAGACTGACCAGTTTGGGCATCTATTAAGAAATTTACTCCAGCATTTCTGATGGCCTGCATCTAGATGGTTCTTCGCTGTCTCCCAGGTATAACATCTTATTGTGTGTGTGTGTGCTCACTGAGTCATGTCTGACTCTTCGCGACCCCATGGACTATAGCACATATAGCCCACCAGGCTCCTCTGTCCATGGAATTTTCCAGGCGAGAATGCTAGAGTGGGTTGCCATTTCCTTCTCCAGGGGATCTTCCCAACCCAGGGAATGAACCCACATCTCTTACATCTCCTGCATTGGCAGGCAAATTCTTTACCACTGAGCCACCTGGGAAGCCAATCACATCTTATTGGTCTCTCATTAATTGATGAATTAAATAAAATATTTGACCTGTGTTGTCTCATTTGTCTTATTTGATCATGCCTTCTTTTAAAAAATTATCTCAGACTCTTAGCTCCTGCAACTGTTTCTTGATATTTGCTCTATCTTCCAGGAAAAGAGAAAATAAATATTGAGCAGAGGCTGTTTTTATACCTCAAGCAATTACCATTTGAACTAGCAAGTCCTTGGGGGCAAAGGGCTATTGTGGAATCCATTGGTTCCACCAGTGGCTGCTTGGCTAGCTGGCAGTTCCTAAATCGGTTGAGTTTATTTTGAAATTACGGCAGATACACACACTTAACACGGCAGCTGCTTTGGGATTGTGCTTGCTCTAGCATTTAAGGCCCCTGTGGTCTGGTCTGTGTTTTATTGCTTCCTACTTTCTTATTACAGTCTGACTGAATTTCTCTCTTCCACACTGGCTCCCTGGAAACCCCTCTCCCCACTCACTGCATGCATTTAAATTCAGTCCTGCCTTTAGCACCCGCTCCAGTGCCTCCTCCCCCAGGAAGCCTTCCTTGTTCTCTGAGCAGGAAGGAACCTTTTCTCCTGAGCTAGGCACACCCTGCCTTCTCACATAAACCATGAACACTCTCTCTGCAGTCCCAGTGCCAGCAAACCAGGCCTTAGGGCAGAGTGTGATGGCACTCCTGTTGTGGGTAAGCACGTGGCTTCCTCCCCACTTGCAGGGGCGGTTGGAGACCCAGGCACGTGTCTGAGCAGCTTCTCGTGGACGCCAGCAGTGATCTGCCTTTGTTCAGTTAACTCACTGCTGCCTGTGAATGCTTTTGGCAGAAGGCGGTGCCAGGGTGCCCCGCATCCTGGCCCTGCACGTCTTCGAGTGTGTTTCCATGAGCCTTGGTGTGTGGGCACGGCACAGCCGGGGCCAGGCTCATCTGCTCCGTCCCCAACTCTGTTGGTGGAAGAGAAAATGTGGTCACAGAGGGGAAAGGCCTCTCTTGAGGCTGAAAACCGGGTGTTTGAGCTGAATCCACAGCTTCTAAATCTAGATTAGGTTAGCCTTGAACATGTTTGGTTGGTTAAAGTGTATGTGATGAGTGTGTTTTTTTCCCCATATTGGTGTATGTGTTTTTCTGTTTCCTCATTTCATTTATAAAAATAATCTGGCTTGAAACACCATTGTGATGTGTTTCTGTAGGTACACACACATGTGCACACACACCTGCAGTCTCACACACTCGCTTCTTGGATCTTATTAATACTTTATCAAAACATAACCCTGGCATCTTGTTGAGCTCTCACACACTTACAAGGCAAGGCCAAGGCCTGATGGATTTGACCATTAAAGATAAAACTAGCTTCTTCTAGTTTAGACAATTTATCCCCTTTGTGAGCAACAAAAAGGGCCTGGCGGAGGTGCCTTTATCCCTCTAGCACGACACTAGACAGAGGGGCCGCTGGCTGCCATGTACGTTATGGGGTGCTCAGCAGCCAGTCTGCACAAGCTGAGTGGTCGTGTGGTCCGTTGCCCCCTTCCTGTCGCAAGCTGTCTACACGCCCAGGCAGACCCCTGCCTCTGGATGGTGGAAGTTCCCCATCTGCCAATAGACAACAATGTCCACTTCATTTTTAGTTGTGGGAACCACATGACAGCCACAAAGAGTTTTAAAGACAGAAACCTGTCTTGTTATCATTCTAGAACAGGTATTTTCACTAATATTTTCCCTTATAGATTTTGTCCACATTTATACACATTTCTTAGAGTTGTCGTCTTGTACACCGATGTTGTATCCTTTTTGATTTAATGTTGTGTCATACATTCACCCACGTCTCTTGTCATCTTTGTAGTAACAGGGATGATTTTGTCAGTTACATGGTTACATTTGGTTACATTAGTGGTCATTTTACCAGTTTTAAAATAGTTTCATTTTTAATACTTTTAACAGTTATATGGTTGTCAGCTGAGCCGTTGGACGATTTGATGGCACACAGCGTGTCCGGGGTTTCTTGTTTTAATTTTTGATGGAGTATCGTTGCTTTACCGTATTGTGCTAGTTCCTGCTGCGTAGCAGAATGAGTCAGCCACACATACACACATTACACATGGCTCCAGCAGACGTCTTTGTGCCTGTCTGTTTTTCTCCCTCTGCTGAGTTGTTTGCTTGGAGTTGGTTCCCAGAAGCAAGCATTCAGGGCACGATGCGTGGGCGTTTATGTGGTTTGCTGAAGTTCTTTCTCAACGGGCTCCTCCAGCGGCGGGTGTGTTTGGTTGCCATGGAGATGTGTGCAGTAGGTCTCCCTCTTCCGCAGCGGGCTCTGCCCACCCAAGGCGGCCATGCCCCCAACTGGAGGCTCTCAGGAGCTGTGGGCACAGTCAGGTGGGGGGAGGGCACGGCCTTGGCCAGCAGCCACATGCCGCGTGTCTGCACACCTAGTGTCAAGTGGCCGGTCCAAGGAGAAGCTGGCGCCTGTCTGGGGCTTGAGAGAGGCTGAACAAGAAGGGAGAAAAAGTTTGCTGGGCTTGTGGAGTCAAGTGAAGTCTCCTTGGCACCTTCCAGAAGAAACTATGAGGCAGAGAGAAGGCCGGGCTCTGTGTCCTCACCCCAGGCCATTTTAGGTCCAGAAAGTAAGCTTTTGTTCATCTTGTAAAGACTAAATAAATTCCACCCTGGAATCATGGGTGAAACCAATTTCCTGATTCATAGCCCCTACTATTTTTCAGCTGCGTGGATTAGAAAATAATGGACTAGATAAGAGATGCTTCTTTCTAGAAGCTCATGGATCATGAGGGTGCCCTGGTCCTGGGGGTAGGCAGTGCCAAGACCAATGAGGAATATGCCCATCGTGGGCCTGAGCTCAGAGGAGGGCCGGATGGGGTCCCCTGCCAGGACAGGGCTGAGGTGTGCAGGTCACGGCCGGAGCAGATGACTCCGAGTGTTGTGACCTAGTGCTTGGGTTCCTTGGAGATAGGCGTGCACTGTGATCTGCCA